TTTCCATCTGTTGCTTCTTGTCATGGATTCAAAGATTTGACAGTTGCCCCCACCAGTTAGGTGACCACACTCCAGATGTTCAGCAACTGGGCTGCATTTATAACTGTTTGCAGGGTCCCATGATCACATGACTGTGTTTTGTGATGGTTTTGCAATAACTCAGCAGGTTTTGGCAAAACAGTGTCCATAAGAAATCTTTCATTTGCTTAGCAGCCAGGGTATTCATTAATAACTGCAGCAAAAAATAGTCTTAAATGTAGTAGGTTATGTGGATGCCCTGATTTATGACTGGGCAAGCTTCATTATAGTCTTGACTATTCTTCATCAAATTTAAATAAGGAGAAAACATCAACCTTGGCACCCTTTCTAATTCTGAACCATGCAGAACATAGAATAATAGGTTTGGAAGAAATCGATGAGACCTTCTAATTCAACCCTCTGCTCAAGCAGGGAATATTATACCATTCTGGATTAATGGCTGCCCAGTCTCTTCTTGAAAACCTCCACAACTTCTAGAGATAAAATGGGAGGGGACCTCGGTGCTAGATTGGGCCCCTATAACCACACTCTCTACACAGCACAAATCATCATCATCATTCTATTGTCTATCCACTGCAGGATGAAGGCCTCTTCCACATGTTTTTAACACAAACACAAATATCCCTTCAAATCCTGAAGCTGATGGATTCTTCACCAGCTGTTCAAAAGATCAGAAATCAAACTTTATTGCTCTTTGCCTGGCTCAAGCAGTCTTCACAGAACATAGAATAATAGGGTTGGAAGGAATCTTGGAAGTCTTCTAGTCCAGGGCTTTTCAACCTTTTCACCCATTGTACCACTTTTAGGATAAGGCAATATCCGAGTACACCAGTCGCCCAGCAAGGTGTCAAAAACTTGACCAAAAAAAAAAAAAGGAAAAAAATGATAAAGTACAGGTAGTCCTCGACTTACAACAACTTGCTTAGTGACTGTTCGAAGTTACAACGGCACTGAAAAAAGCAAATTATGACCATTTTTCAAACTTAATGCTGTTGCAGCATCCTCAGGATCATGTGATTTACATTTGGATGCTTGGCAACCGATTCATACTTATGACGGTCACAGTGTCCCAGGGTCATGTGATCACCTTTTGCAACTTTTTGACAAGTGAAGTCAATGGCCAGGGGGCATGGCCAGCTCATCACTCAGGTTGCGGGGTGCCTATGGGGAATGCGGGCGGGGATGTGGGGGGGATCTGTGAGTCTCTGGTGAAGGGGGATGGGACAGGCATGGGCACCTTCCTTTCCTCCCTCTCTCCCTCCCATTGTCCCTTCCTTCCTTCTTTCCTTCCTTTCTTCCTTCCCTCCCTTTGTCCCTTCCTCCTTCCCTCCCTCCATTCTATTGTCCCTCCCTTCCTTCCTTTCCTTCCTCCTCTCTTTGTCCCTTCCTTCCCCACCTCCCTCCCATTGTCCAGCGCTACGGGAGCAGGGAGGGCATAAAAGAGCCCGGAGGAGGCAATTGGAGTTTGGCCGCCGCTGCCACCACCGCCACTGTTGCTGAGCCAGACAGTTGCACGACAGCGGCTGCTGCGGTTCCTGCCCGCTGCTTCTCCTTGGCTGTTGTTGTGGCTCCGTCTTGTGAGCCCCTCTTATCGGAGGAAGAAGGCTCCGAACATGAAGGAGAGGAGATGGCTAGGCCTCCCTCTCCAGGACCCTCCTCTTTGGCAATGCCTCAGGTGTCTTCCGACGGAGAAGAGATTGACCAGGAGCCAGGTGGTTCAGAGATTGGCCAGGAGCCCGGTGTGTCTCAGATTGGCCAGNGCTATAAAAGGGTGGTGGTGGCCATTTGGACCTCTGTGACGGACAAAAGCTGAATCTCTGGCAAAGTAGCGTGCTGTGGTATTGTTTTTGTTTCTGGGTGTTTGGAGATAAAAGGTCTTGGCAGGCAGCTACGGAGCTGCTGCCAAGTTTCTTATCTGTGAAGTGGTGTCTGGAGAAGTCTTTAAACCCTCGGCTGGCTCTTTGGGTGTGTGGGTCGGAACGGGGACAGAACAGCTGTTTCCTCTGAAAAGGAGCAGCAGTCGCGCTCGGTGCAGCCAGGAGCCCAGCACAGCCGCTGTTCGTCCGCAGGGGGAGGAGAGCACAAGCAGCAGAGGAGCGCACCGGGGCGGGGAAAGAGCCGCGGCTGCCGGACTCCCTCTGGTGCGTTGCGCGCGGCCGCAGCCAGAGAAAAGCAGCGAGCAGGTAAGCGGCTCATTCATTGCTGCAGCCGCAGCCCGGAGCTACGCGTAGCCCTGGGCATTTCTTTTACAGACATGGCGGAGCCTCAGCACCAGGCTGGACCCCGGGAGGCTCCTCAGCGTCGAGCCGAAATGCAGCTGTAGCTGCAGCAGCTCCAGCCCCTCCCCGGGTGCAAAGGGGCGCTTTTCGGGCTCCAGCCCCATCACTGCACTAACCTGCGGGCAAAAACGGGCCTTGCTCTCCGGACGAGAGCCGAGCCAAGCAACAGGAGGGCAGCCATGAGAGTGGTGGGAAGAGCGGGCAGGGCTTTGCCGGGGAGGGTTGCCTCAGGCCCTCTAACGGTGGTTGGAGTGACGACACGCAGCTGCCAATCCCGCCCTCCTCAGCTTGCCCATTCTTATTCCCCCCCTCCCAAAAGGCGGTGCTGTAAACTTTACAGCTTTCTGCAAGCAAATGAGATGAGCAGGAGCATGAGATCGGCGTTTCTGAGCATACGCTGATTCGTGCTCCTGCCCATCTTGCTCGCTTGCCGGTGCCCACAATCTGCCCGGCCTCCCCTCTGCCTGCTTTGTGCAGCTCCTCCTGGGCCCCCGCGCCAGCTGTTAACCCTCCCGCCACCATGCAGTGTAAGCTTGGCGCCCCTGCCCCCGCCCAGATGCCCTCGCCTCCCCCAAGCATTTTTTACTCATCTGCTTTCAGCTGTACTCCCTTTCTCCTTTTGCTTCTCTGCCTTCGTTTGCTTCTCTGCCTTCTCCACATGTTTGTGGGTAAAAAAGAAAAAAAAGTTCCATGAGACTTTCAAACTTTTCGCGAGAAGTTAGAAAGTCTCATGGAACTTTTTTTTTTGTCTCACAAACACATGAAGGCTGAGTAGAACAGGAGAAAAGGAATGCTGTTAAAAGCAGGTGAGTAAAAAAAATGCTTGGGGGAGGTGAGGGGATCTAGGTGGGGGCGGGGGGGACCCAGGCAATGCATTACGCAGCTCCAGTGGAATCTCCACTGAAGACTGCTTGAGGCTGCCTGCTACCCCTAAGGCCGCTGCCAATCAGCTGGAGCTACGCGCTTTGATTCTGGGCTCTCAGTAGGACCCAGGCAACGTGCAGTTCCAGCTGACTTTGCCACAAGCCTGTGCGGTGCTGCTGCCGCTTCACCTCATCCACTTTTACATTTTTTTTAATATTTGTTTTTACATTTTGTTTACATTTTTTTACTTTTTCAACCCATCCTACGCATACCACCAGCCAGGTGCTTGCGTACCACCGGTGGTACGTGTACCACCGGTTGAAAAGCCCTGTTCTAGTCCAAGCCCATGGAAGGAGATCCTATATTATTCTGGACAAATATCTTTCCAGTCCCTTCTTGAAAACCTCCAGTGATGGAGCTCTCACAACTTCGTTCCACTGACTGTTCTCATTGTCAGGAAATTTCTCATTGTGTTCTCGACTGGATCTCTCTTTAATGAACTTACACCCATTATTTCGTATCTTGCCTTCAGGTGCTTTGGAGAACAGGCTAAACCCTTTCTCTATGACAGCACCTCAAGTACTAGAAGATTGCTATCGTATTACCCCTAGTTCTTCTCCTCATTAAACTAGACATATGTAGTTCCAGCAGCCATTCATCATAGAGTTTAGCCTCCAGACCCCTTATCCTCTTTGTTGTTCTTCTCTGCATTGTTTCTTAGGGTCTCAGTCAAGTTTCTTCTATTGTGGACATAATATTCCAAATATGGTCCCCCACCAGTGCAGAATAAAGCGATACTATTACTTCACACAATCTTGCAACTCTCTGTCTGTTAATGCAACCTAAGACTGCATTAACTTTTTTGGCAGCTGCAACTCACTGCTGGCTCATACTTAGTGGTGATCTACTAGAACAATAGATCCCTTTCAGAGTTGTCACTGTTAAGTCAGGTACCACCTATTCTATGTGTAGGAACTTACTTTTCTCAACACCGAATAGCATTTTGTTGGCTAGGGCCAGTGTTCAAGTCTGTCAAGATCCTTTTGAATCTTGAGTCTATCATCTAAAATATTGGCTATTCTCCCCAGTTTGGTCTGCAAATTTGATGAGTTCCTGAGTTCTATCCCCTTATTTAGATCATTTACGAAAATGGTGGTAAGTACTGAGTTAGAACTTTAGAGGAACTCCACTGTTTACTTCTTTCCATGTAGATGTAATTCCATTGAAGACTGCCTGCTGAGTGCAATTGGTCAACCAATTACAAACCCATCTGGTGGTGGTATACTCTATCCCATATTGTTTTAATTTACCAAGAAGATGGCTGTAGTTTGTCAAATATCTTACTGAAATCTAAATGAACTATGTCCACAGAATATATAGTTTCCACTAATATATAGTTGCTCATTCCATTCCAATTGTTGAGATTTCAATGAATACATCATAAAAGGCACTCAAATCACCTTATAGAAGATTAGATCTAGAAAGAACTATTCAGGCTTTACTGTATCAATAATTAAAATATCAGTTACATTTTATAATATCAGTCAAGTCTGAGAAGCATATCAACAATTGTAAGGACTTAATATTTCATTACAGCAACTACTTGGAGCTGTTGGACTGTTCATTTATTTGTTTGCCTGATATATATCCTGCCTTTGCTCTAAGATCTCAAGAGGCTTCCATGGTATTCTTATTCCAATAAATAAGATGGTGATCTTATTTATTGCCACAATAATAATACAAGCTACGAAATAGGTAAAACACAAAAAGTGTCACATGCCAAAAAATTCATATGAGCTGAAATAATTGAATGCTTACCTTTGCATCTACTTCTGGATCATCAAAAAATCCCTCTGGTAAGGCCTCTGCAGTGTTTTCTCTTCTGAAATGTTAAGGTAATAATTAATACTTACCTCAAAGTACTATTTAAACTGAAAATAAGAGTAAGTAAACCTAATAATACTTAAGATATTTAATGACAGTTGAATAAGAACCAAAAAAGTCATCTTAAAATACAATACAAGTAGTCTTTGCTTAATGACCAGTCATTTCATGACCATTTGAAATTAGAAATTAGACCCCTATAAGTTATTTATGATCTGTCCTTGAAGTTTCGGCTGCAATCATATGATCACATTCAGATGTCTAGCAACCATCTGGCTGCATTGTCCCACAGTAACATGACTGCAATATGCAATGTTTTTTGCTGGTTTCTGATGTTTTTTGCTGGTTTCCAACAAAAAATGCCCATTGAAAAAATGATTTGCTTAATGACCATATGATTTGCTTAACAACCATGATGACTCCCTTTATGATTGTTATAAAAATGGTATTAAAATCCTTAATGACTGCAACAACTTACAACTAAAATTCCTGGCTCAGATATAATTCTTAAGTGACAAGTACCTGAAATATTAACATTCATTTTATAATTATTCATATATTATAAAGTTTAGTTATTCAAAGCCTTAATATCAATTTAAGAAAATTCTCTTAATCAGAATCCTGAAATCTGTATGTTCCCAAATCTTAAGTATCTAAAGTATTTTAATATTTTAATTTTTTTAAAACATTTTAATACTTGTAATATTTTAAAGTATTTAAGTTATATGCCTTCAATCCTGAGAAACTGGAAATCTTTCCAGATGTCAAGGAATGGAAATATGTGATCCATTTTGGAAAAGGCAATTATTTTGTACCACCCAAGGAGGCAGCAATATGTATTAATTATGGCACAAAATCTGTGATTTCTTAAAATATCTTGCATTGTTCATATTGTATTAATAAATTCATTGTAAGCAAGTGACTATTCATAAGTATATATTTTTCTTTTCTCCAGTTTGTATTTTTAGCTTGTACTTTCCATTTTTTTAAATTCCTTTTTTTAATATTAAGGAATATTTTATCACAAAAAGTAAAACTATTAATCAGGATCAAAAAGTTTTGTACCATGTTTTCTTATGAAATGAAAATTACTAACATTTTATATTATTTTGTGCTTCAAAGCCTAAATTATATACATTTATTGCATAATACTGCATAATGATATTTTTATTCAAGTTTCTATTTCAATTCCCAAAATACAATCATGGAAATCTTATCATTATTCAGGATTGTTTTATACCTGTCTTTCTGAAAAATTGTAACCCCCCATGTGAACTAACCAGAAACTTCTAAAACTTTAGAAGTTGATAACAAAAGTTACCCAAGAGAATTAAATGTGTAGCGTTTCCTCCTCAGAGGCCGCAAAAGCCCAGGCCCTCCCAGCCCCGTCCCCCTTCGTCAAGCCCTGCCGTAGTGTTCTCTAGGGGTTGGTAAGATGTCTCTTCCAGCTGGAGCTCATGCAGAGTTAGGAGGTAGCAGGCTCTTGTCGTCAAGGAGGGGCTCCCAGGAACGAAAATAACCAGCCCCGATAGTCAATGCTATGATGGTATCCAACAGCCCAAGGCCGTTATAGCAGCAATAATTAAGGATTCCTCAGCGGTTGTTCAGAGTCAAGTGGGATGGAGGAAAATCAGCCAGGGTCCAGACGGTAGTAGAAACAACAGTCAGTGTGCTATAGCAATAGCTTGCCCCCCAGGGCAACTCCCCCACAAAGTCTAAAACTTGTGCCAGCAACAATAGTCACAGTCCAATAGCCTCCAGGCTTCGCAGCAACAGTAGCCACCCCCAGTCTCTCCTCTCCTTCTGTTGCTCCTTCTCAGTCAGGTCTCGGCGTCAAAACGCTCCCCCCCCTTTATCTTTATTGTTAAAATCCGAGGCTAGGAGCCTCAGCCAACTCCTTTCTACACACTCCCCCTTGCCTCCGTTTAAAATATCCTCCTTACGGAGAAAAGCAAATAAAACTTCCACTCCCTCTTTACCTTCACCTGACGAACTGCAACAGCCACCCCGTCCCTTTCCTTTCCTTCCCTTTTTTATCTTTTTCTTCGGCCCAGGCTTTGGGTGTGGCTGGGACAGCAGTAGCTGTCCCAATCTCTCCCTTCCCAACCGAGCTCCTGCAAACACTCTCAGACAGCCCCGCTACAAATGCTTGGAAAAATAGTTGTACCATGGTTGTAAGATCAAAACCACAATTCTGAATATAAGCTAGTATGATAGAAACCTGGTTTGGTTTCTTTAAATGAAAAGTATGGAAAAGTATGAAACCCAATGAGAGAAATAAAAATACAAAGCAATCAGAAATCTCTCCAACAAAAATAACTCATATTCTGTATGTTGATTTCCACATATAGACATTACTGTACACTTACAAAGCCAACTCACTGAAATATTCCATCTATTGACTGGAAACACAGTCTCATTTTTGACAAATTTTAAAAATAATATTCAATTATGGAGGACTGAGGATCCTAAGTTTTCTAACAATGATAATAGCAATAGCAAATGTATTGATATTGATATATATTATTATTTATATGAATTGTTTTGGTTATATTAAAACAAAGAATACAAAAACAGAAAATCAAAGGAATCTGATGTAAAGAACTGGTCTTAAGATTGAAAAAAAGTAAAATACTTGGGTATTACTGTAGCTAATATGAATTGTATAATTAATATTATGCATTATACATTTAGATAAATTATGTTAAGGTATGAAATTAAATTAATTAAATATCTTAAAATGGGAGAAATTACAATTGTCATAGTTGGGGAAGAATCTCTGTCATAGAATTGGTCTTTTTATTTCAAACAATTTTATTTTGGCAACTAATGCACCATTTAAGCAATGGCAGAAAGATATATTTAGGTTTGTATGGGAAGGAAAAAATCCAAAGGTTAAATACAAAGTCCTTGAAGATGCAGGAGGATTAGCATTGCCTGATTTGAAGTTGTATTTTGCAACCTACTATTTAGTTTGGATGAAAATAGGTACTGCTGAGAAATAAAAGAATTTTAGAACTGGAAAAACATGATCTGAGATTTTGATGGCATGGTATTTTATGGTATGATAAAGGTTAATATGGATTTTAAAAATCACTTTTAAAAAGGAGTGCCATCTTGCTCGAAAATGTCTTCATGGGTCTCATGAAGAATTTTATAGGAAAAAAACAGCAGGTAAACAGATGATTAACTTAGAACAAGAGCATGGAGAATATAAGATGAAACAAAGAGCAAATGTTGCAGAGGGATTTAGTTTTCAATGTTATTGAAATGTAACAATGTTACTGTTATTGTTAACGTATTAACAATAAGTTAATAAATTAACTTTATTATTAACGTGTTAATAACAAATTAACCTATTTTAATAATAAATTAACAATAAATAAAATAATTATGTATTAATAAATAATAAATTAACTTATTAGCAGTATTATTAACAATTGTTAATAATGTCAAATTAACAATACTGTTAAAATATGCACAGTTAAGAAAAATATACAAAGTAGGCAATAGGACATTTGGAATGAAGCAGCAGAAAGTTGAAGTTGAATCATGTATAAATGATAAACATAATTGCTAAACTTTTGCTGAAATATGAAATGGAGAAAGAACAAGAACGATCGTATGGCTAATAAGCTAAGAATGTTGGTTATAACATTGTTGGAACAGTGGGAAAACATATGGCTGAAAGAATTGAAATTCATACTGTTAAAATAAAAGAGAATATGTGTAGCTCAGGATTGAACTTTGAAATTTTGAGGGCTTTCTGTACTGGGTTGTTTGCTTGCAGATGTTTCATTACCCCACTAGGTAACATCATGAGTGTAAGTGAGTTTGGGGTTTACTCCTGTTTATATACAGTAGCTTGCCCTGGCAGTGTAGAAGTGCAATTTTCTGTTGGTAGTTCCTTGATTATGGAATTTTCTGCTTGCTTGTTTGTCTGTCTGGTGTTAATTTCTGCTTATCTAGGTATTTCAGAAAATGATGTGTTCTAGTCTTTTTTATTTCCTTTCCTTAGCCTTCTTGAATGGTGGGTAAAATAACCAGGTGTAAGAATTTGAAACAACCTATAACCCAAATCATTGCATATACAGTATGAGTCCATTACGAAATGAATGACATTTGTATGGACTTAGACCAGCACAAAGGCTAACAAAAACAAGCAATATATGAAACAAACATTGCCATATCTTCAGCCACAAATCTGATATGTCTAGATCAGGGATCCCGAACCTCCAGTTTGTGGCCCACTACCGGGCCATGGCCTATTTACAACTGGGCTATGGGATGAAACTGCATTATTTGGTTTTATTATAATTGTTGTTATTATTAATCATCACACAGTCAGCCAGATGTTCAGACTGGATTTGGCATTTTGGTAAGGACCTGGGATAGGCAGATCTGGATGTCTGATGGTGTTACAGATATCATCGTAGGATGGAAACTGTCCCTAGCAAAGCCACCTTTTGCAACTGACTGATGGAAAATTTGTCAATGCCAATCCTGTTCAAGTGGTGCTCCAGTTGTTTTGGGATTGCACCCAAGGCACCTATTACTATCGGTACTGCCCTTGCTTTCCTTTGACACAGTCGTTCTATTTATAGGTCTTTGTATTTTGTTATTTTCTCCAGTTCTTTCTCTTCTATTCTGCTGTCTATTATTGTTATTGTTGTTGTTGACATTTGTTGCAAGCAAGTTCATTCTGAACCTTAACTTTCCTGACTTCATGTCTGCAGGTTCTGGCTATTTGCTGACATTAGGCTTTAATTATTCTTTTCACTTCTTATACTTGTCTTTTTTGTCTTTTTTATCACAGAGTTCTTTGTGCAGCCAGCCATGCTAATTTCTTTAGGGATTTCTTATTTTTCTTCTTCAGTAGTAATGTGCTAGACTGGGCTTTTATAATCTCATCTTTCAAAGTTTCCCAGGGTTTTTGGCTTGCTTTCTCCTTGAGGGTTTCCATCCATGAAATCTTTCCCAAACATTAAGTTTGCTCAA